TACTGTGAACGTTTGGAACTAGTCTTGTAAGACAATGTCCCCAGGGGCTCTTCACGCCCTAACTTCAAATCGACTCAGCCCCTGGGTCTCCGAGGATGAGTTCATGAGGGCTTATTCATCTCTCTGTTAAAAAAAAAGAAAAAAACAAAAAACAAAAAAACAAAAAAAACATTAGTTCCAGGTAAACCGGAAGTGTTCGTCGAACAACCAGGAACGACTGTCGTTGTATCTTGGACTCTGAAGGAAAAGAACGGCATTATTGAAGAATACCACGTGATCTATGTCAGAGAGGATGATTTGTCAGATACCAAGACTCTTGCCACTAAGAAAATGGAAGTGCAGTTTGATTTAAAGGCGGGAAAAACATATGAATTGCAGGTAGAAACATTTGATCACTTATTCGAGTTAGGGAGGTAGTTCTGTACAATTAGGTTCGGTTTGGCAGATAAAATCAACGTGCCGTGGCTACAATTAAAGGTAAAGTCAGAGCTAATTATAATTTCCATTCTACGTTATTGTGCCAATTAAAATGACGTCGACCGACCCCACCCCAAGTCCAAAATATTCTCACACAAACACAACGTCTCTGTACTGTCATTATGCAAATTAGGTCATGCAAGCCTTCTCTTAACTTTAGTTTACGTCATTTTGAAGATCATACCTTCGGAAAATTACTTACGTAGTTTGGTGGAATTCAGAAAAATGGTAAATTTCGAAAAATTGTTATTATCACTAACATTCTTTTGAAACTAAAGAAAGCACTTTGGTTTTTCGTGTGGCTCAGTAAGCTACTAAACAACCTGACTTTCTACAAAACTTACATTTTACAGAAGAGGAAGTGTCTGTTGGTTAGATTTTCCTAGACGCTATATCTTTGAAACGCCAAGCGAGTGAAACTGTACAAATTTCGACCTGCTAGGACCCAATTGATGGATTCTAGGCGATGGAAGCGAAAAGTTGGTTTTCCTCGAGAAAAGAAACGTGTTTGAGGGTTAAACACAAAGCATTTAATAATGAAGTAATATCGTTTGTCTCATGGTGTAGTCACTTATGATGTGAATCGCGACGCTTCGACTGCATACCACTAGTCTCCATTAGACGATAAAGCCGACCTTATCCCTTTATTTTTATTTTACTTTAATTGGTATTTTACTTTACCACGATGAACAGGCACAACCCTTTTTAAAGAAATTACACAGCATTTCTTGTCTTATTAGGGGCGACTGTGTGTGCAAAAGTAAAGACATTTTTAAATTTTTTTTGCTTTGCCACAAAAATCCCATTTTTGGTTTTTCCACGGATGCACTGTTAATATTCTCTTAAGTATTATGGCTGTTTAGGGTGAAGCATGATCGAGAAACACACGATGACTGAAAAAGAACGTCAATTTTTAGTTCTATACGAAAACGTCGTTCTGTACTCTTGAGGAACAATCCTCTTACATGAGTAATTCGGTTTCTTTTCCTTAAGGTATTTGCTATAAACCAGATGGGAAGAGGACCTGCAGGGGTGAGGATGTTTACATTGAGAAACGGTTAGTACGTGTACTTCGTTATGACGCCATTTCCCTCGTAAGATAGACTAAATTACACCCTCATAAGTATTTCAGCAGTTCTCCCTCGTTATTTCTATCAATTTATAATTAACCAAAAATGAAATCAGTCGAGGTGTTTTCGATTTTTGTGTCTCTCCGCTGGGCCAAAGTGGCACCACAAAATTCAAATGGAAGACTCTCATGAACCATAAGTTAGAAGAGCTACATCACGATTTTTTTGAGTTAAGAGAGGAGGAACTAAACCACAAGTCTGTTGCTAAGAGGGCTAAAAGACTCGTTTTTCGTCAGCGGTTTCCCGCGGCATTTCGTGCCGGCCGCGTTAAACATGGCGGGAAAATCAAAGTTTAAACACAAATCAAATGGTATAAATCCACCAGCTCCCAAAATTTTGCCCATCATTACAAAATGACCTCGTTGTTAACCGTACGTCGGTTTCGCTTACAGTGCCAAAAGAAAATACGAACTTCGAAAAAGCGCCTGAAGGAGTTTCTCTTGCTACCTCAAAGTGATGACTTGAGAGGCAGAGGTCCAGTTGTTTACCAAAACCGAAGCGACACAAACAGATGATCCGATAGAAGATAAACATTGTTTACCCTTCTATGCTACTTACCGTCCTTATTAAATGTACAAGACCTTGCTGCGTTCTGTTCAAGTTCTAATTATAGATTTTCTCGGTCTGTTTCTTTCAACGAGGAATCTCTAGCATCTGAAAAAATTGCAAATCAAATCGCTGGCATTTTCGATCGCTACGATCACAACTGGGACCTCCAAGCGATTGCAAGTTCTGGATACAAACTAGTTTAACAAGTTCCGATTTCTTAGTTGTCCCTTTTTAGTCTCATCTAATTTTTGAAAAACGCTGCAGTGATGGATTACGAGTAACTAGCAAAACTGGAGTCAAAGTGGGTATTTTAAAATAATTTCAACTTTTCTGGCGAAAAGTACTCTGCAAAATCCATTCATGTCTCTGAGCCGCGGTTTTATAGTCTCGAAAAAGTACAGCCACAACCGCGGAAAGAACAGCCTGTTTTCTTCGTAAGGCATAACCCTGATGAGCCTGCATCAAGGAGTATGTTGTTGAATGGGTGTTATGAAAGAAGAAAATAGGATACTAGTTGACGAGGAACGATTAATGAGTGTTACGCTAAGTTTCTCTATTACGGAAAGCGAATTTCTGTAGTTCTAACAATCGTAAAGAAGAAGGTGGGAAGAAAAAGACTAGGACTAAATGAAACATGATTAGCTGGCCTTTCTATTTCGATGTGTCGCAGTTTGAGTGATACAAACAATTTTCCCCGTGAGCAAAAAAAAAAAAAGAGCAATTTCTCTCCGCGGTCTAGGTGCCATGCAATTCACAATAAGTTTTGATTTTGTCTCTTAAAAAAATGGAACAAATTGTCATTTTAATTTGCTCTTGCGTACATGTACATTTATTGGGCAGATTCCGAGACTGAGACCTATCTAGAGATCGTCTACGCATTGGCTGCCATATTGATACTTTGTATCATGTGTTTCATCTTTTACATCGTTTGGAAACGGTAAGTTTAGAAATTATCAAGCACAGAATTAAGAATGTAGAAAATTTAGCCTCCGCAAACGAGTTAAGATAAAGCACACCCTCCGAAAAGACGTCTCAGAACTGCACAAGAACTTACCGATACACAACAAAGTCACTAAGTCACAAAAAGAGAGGAAACATTTTGGGTTAGCAGATAAAACTCGTGGTACTCTTTTTTGTCGAAAGTTAACTTGTCGAGGTGGAAGCCTTTCTTACACATTCAGATGAAATTTGTGGCTCAATTAATTTTTTTTTCGCTTAAAAAATGTTTCAAACTAGTTGAGTAAGTTTCAAGTGAAATATATTTTGAACGTAGCTAAAATTGAATCACCACAAAGACGCTTAAAGTGATACACACTTCGACGAAATTCTGTAAATCTGAAAATGCTATTAATATTATAACTTTTAATCAAATCATTTGGTTAGTATCTTACTGAATTTCTATAATGAAACGAAAGTATAGTTTTATGATTTCGTATTTTGGGGAACAGATGGGACCGAGGCCGAAGAAATGAGGAAAGGGCAGCAGAATCCAACATTAGGGTGTATGATGGTAAGTCCAATCTTTTAAAAACTATTTACCTCTATTATAATTGTAATCCGAGTTAAATTATATCATATAACCAACCAAAAAAGCAAACAAAACTAATAGTCAAGTAAACAAACAAAATAAACCAAGCATGGTAACAAACTTCATTCTTATGTGTTCGATTTCGTAAAACTAAAAAAGGTTAATTCAATAAGGTGTGTCCACCAGCAGCACACATCATCTCCTTGAGGAGATACACATATGGTCGCTTTAATTGCCCTGTGTCGAACAGAGACAACTGAAACAAGCAGTTGTGTACGGCTTTTTTTTCGCTCAAATCAGTGCAAAGTCAAAAGACTCGTGGATTGCACATTGATCCTTACAATTGTAAATTTCTCCTTAGAAATTCCAATCAGTTCTCTTGTTGAGTACCAAAATTTGGATGGTTTTAAACTAGACCGTGAACAAATAACCACAATGAGAGTACTTGGAAGTGGCAACTTTGGTCAAGTTTGTAAAGCAGTTTATGGACCTTTGAGTGCTGAAGTTGCTGTTAAATCATTAAAAAGTAGGTCCATCACCTTTCTTTGTCCAAAATATTTCAAATGTCATTAATAGACCGTAATTAGTCAAAGTTTCACTCAATCAACAACAACAACAACAACAACAATTTAACATTTAAATAGGGCAAACTACTATATAGATAATCAGTCGTGCTTTTTTACAATCAGTTAAGGTGAGATCGGACGTCAGAATTCGTGAGGCGCACGATGCAGCCACTTCAGTCCATGTATTGATCTCACCTTCCATCCCCAATTCACCCTAGATTAGACACTACACAAAGATAGACCACAACACCGGGCACCACGTGCCCTACTCTTTTCGAAGAGTGTGTGGGTTCTTTAACGTCCCACAAATCTAGCAATCAAATCTAGCAGTTTACGTATTCTTGTCTGCGTCCGTTTAAGATGTGGTGAGGGTTCTCCTTGCCATTCCTCTCTAACCTCGATCATCTGATTTAAACCTTTGCGTTACGTTCTAGGTAATGCCCTGCCGAAAGACTTGCAAGATTTTATTACTGAATTGCACCTTATGAGCTCCTTGCAGCCTCATCCTCATGTTGTAAAACTCATTGGTTGTTGTATTGAAAAAGGTACATCTAATTTAATTAATTTAATTTAATAACTTCTAGAGCACTATTTTCATTCAATGATCGACAGCGCTTAACAACTTAGAATACTACAGTAAATTCAAATTTATGAAACTAATTACATGTACATTAATATTAACAATGTATGTTAAAAATAAGAATAATGTGGAGCATCCATAATAAGCATCTTAATTAGGAATAAGGACCTTAATAAGAAACTTAATTAGTAATACTAATAAAAGTAATTGTCAGACAGGGTACTTTGAGAAAGCTGCACGAATAAAATAAGTTTTCAGCTTACATTTAAAAAAGGAAAATGATTGAATATCACATAATTCAGCTGGCAGAGCATTCCATAAGTACGGGGCAGCAGCAGAGAAGCATCTGTCCCCCATCTAGATGATTCATTGTGCCTGACTAATTAATTGACTAATCTGGAATAAGCTTTGGCTTTTATCTGATTCCAGATCCCTCCCTAATAGTTTTGGAGTACTTAGCATATGGGGATTTGTTGGGATACCTGCGTAAGAGCAGAGGATTTGAGGACACTTATAATACAGGAGAAAAGGGACCAAGTTCATCACTCAGTGAGAAGGACATCTTATCTTTTGCGTGGATGATTGCTGATGGCATGAATTATTTAGCATCAATGAAGGTGAACGTGACATTTTTCGAAGCTGAAAACGAGGAAATTACATGACCATAAAATACCGAATGCCTCTGCAGTTTGCATCGGGCTTTATATCATCCGCAGTCAAACTCTACAATCACCCTCGGGAAATAGCCATATGACTATTCAACGGGGTCACCGTTTTAAAGATGGTAACAAAATTACAAGAGTAATTAGCCAAACTAGGAAAACCATTGATCACACAATTTACATCTTATTTCAATATCAGCTTGGCCCGAAAAATTATAAAAGTGTTTAAAGTTTACGCCTACGTTTTCGTCCAGTAAGGCTTCTTCCTCACAATTAATCATCATTCAACGTAACTGAACAAAAACACAAGGTTATCTGGAAAAGATTTTAAGCATCGTACCTTGTGAAAAGAAAGCAGTCACTTTGTTTAGAGCTTAGCGTTACCACAAAGGAGAGAACCTTCAAATACACAGACTAACCTTTTCCTCGATTTAACGTAAAAAGGTGACTATTCAGTATAGGTAAATTACAATAGAACTCTCTAATTGGTGACATCGGTGACAAGTAAATGAATGGTTGTGCGGTAAAAAATGGAAAAAAGGCTTGAATATGAAAATTGAGAAAAAAATTAAAAGATTTAGTGTTTCTTCTAAAACGTCTGGGAATAACTTCCTATGTTGCAGATTGTTCATCGTGACTTAGCAGCTCGAAATGTGTTAGTGGGTGACAACAGAGTGTGTAAGATATCGGACTTTGGTTTAGCACGTGGTTTGGAGGAAGACATCTACACTAGAAAGACTCAGGTGAGCTCTGAGTAAACTTTCTCATCAGACGAGTGTATATACAGCTTTTGCTAGCTTCCCACTTAAAAATTGTTGATCCTCTACAGTAAGCTCTTCGAAAGAAGGCGCAGTTGAATATTTTTATAGATACTGCGCGGTATAAATTTAAATTTAATGATAATAATAATAATAATAATAATAATAATAATAATAATAATATTAAAGAAATCATTGAATACTATATTGTTTCAATTCTCATAACTGTTTTTTTCCTGTTTTTGCCATTCCTCAATCTAAGGCTCGTCTTCCCATTAAGTGGATGCCTCCAGAATCTCTATTCTATGGAACATCAACTACTATGAGTGACGTGTAAGTTTTTGCTACTTTCTCTTTTTCCAAAGCGTTAAGCGTGAGTTTCCAGCTGTTCTATTTACCTCTTGGGCGTTTGGTAAAGTTTTGCGAAAATCAGTTGAAGAGTAAAGGTGTGTAAATGGTCTGCTGAAACCCAACATCTCTTTTTCCCTTGATTTCTTGATGACATAACCGCGTAGAATGAGACTGACACGTTTTGAAAACGCTTTTCGAAACCTATTTAAAAGATTTTTATGCAGTATTATAGCCACTGCGTGTCCAGTGAACCTTATGCTTAAACAAACCTCAATTACCAAAACAAGCGATGTTTTTCAGTCAATCAGCACTAATTAATTTTGCACTTTACAGTGTGTGATGAAGGGTATCTTGAGGAGATTGATCATAAGGCTCAAAAAAATAATTTACAGATTAAGATCTCATGAATATTTCTATATTATACAGATGGTCTTACGGCATTGTGCTTTGGGAGGTCCTTACCATTGGTATGTAGAGTAATGCGGAGAACTTCCCTTTGGTTAAGGGACATCACTCTCTGATTATAAATTGTCTTTCATATGGAAAAAGTAAGAATACTGTAGATTCGCTGAATTTGAAGATCTCTGGCGATATTTTGAAGTGTGATGATGGGGAATGGGATAATATTGTGCAGTTACTGACTTGTAAAATCACAATGAATGCAAAATTCCTTAAATTCTTGCTCCCGACCTCGACCTCGGTTTGCCCAAATTTATAAAAAAAAGCTTATACAACAAACCTAAAAGAATTTTCCTTTTGAGAAACAGGATGTTGAAGAATCGTCCAGTCTTTTGTTACACATATCCTTTCAGGCGAGTCACCTTATCCTGGAAAAACGTCCAAAACAGTAGCTGATTTGCTGCAAGCAGGGTACCGTATGCCCAGGCCAGCACATGTCTCACAAGAACTGTAAGTATACCCGCGAACTGCACTATCTTATAGTCCGAATAGGAAGACTAAGCATATAATTTGCGACAAAAAGCAAACGTCAAAAATTAACATGTCTTGCGGCCTGCCACCATAGTTAATGCATTTGCATCTGCAGGAAATACTATATTTTTTTCTCACTTTAACTTTAGGTATTGACGCCGAAAGGAGAGCAAAATTAGTCTTTATTTTTTACTGTTTTCCGTAAACTTAAACTCGAGGCCTGGGGCCTCATTTCCATACAAAAACATCGCAAAAAAAGGGTAAAATGTTTATTTCTCTATCTCTTGCTAAATACAACATTACAGATTGGTACTTCAATTTTCCGTGGAAGTGAATGTGAACACACCAATAGATTACTTATCTTGGTACAGTTTCAGTCAAGTTAACCCTTTACCTTTTTGCTGATGACACTAACCTTTTATACGCTGATAAAAACCTAAAACCCCTCGAAACTATCGTCAGCTGTGAACTAATTAAAGTTGTCGTCTGGTTAATCGCAAATAAACTCTCCTTAAATATTAAAAAAACAAACTATATAATTTTTCATCCATATCAAAAACGCATTAATTTTAACATTTGCATAAAGGCCTATAATGGCCGCACTAAAACGTTCTTTGAACTTGAACGTAAGGATAATGTTAAATACTTAGGGGTAATAATTGGCCAACATTTATCCTGGAAACACCACATTAAACATATTTCTCTAAAAATCAGCAGAAATATTGGAATTATTTCGAGACTAAGACACTTTGTCCCTTTAAAAACACTTCTAAGTATTTACAATTCATTAATTTGTCCCTATGTATCTTACGGCCTCATTGCCTGCGGCCAAGCTTCCAAATCTCATTTAGAAAAAATTCTTATACTCCAAAAGAGAGCCGTTCGCCTCATCAATTTCTGACTTTCAGAACGGATGCGATTCCATATTTTGCCCAATCTAACATTCTGCCAATCTCAATGGTGTACTTCAAACTTTCATCAATCTTAATGTTTGATGTAACCGCTAACTCTGCACCTCAAAATATCTGTAATCTATTTACTTCTACACAAGACATACATCAGTATAATACTCGCTCATCATCTTCTGGTAACTACTATATTAATCATTCTAGGCTCAATCATCATGAAAACTCTTTTTCCATTGTCGGTGCTAAACTTTGGAACAGCATTCCCGAAAGCTATCGGAAACTACTAAAGCACATGTTCAAAAAGAAAATTCAAGCATTACTATTTGAAACTCTAGAAACTCTGGACAGTTATGCTGACACTAGCACTCTTATTTCTCAAATAAAAAAGGC